TTTTCCAGCATTAAAAAATAATGCTTTCTATGCCCGTGTTTTATTGCACCAATAAACCCGGAGCACGCGCCCATCAGTCAGCACGCAGCCTGCGGTGAGGGTCTTCTCCCTCTCGCGGGCGTCCTGTTTGGTGTAGAATCGCTAGGCCTGGAGGTGGGACAGAAAGATGATCTAAGTCACGTGTGTATTTTAGTCGTATGTCAAAGTGTGGTGAGGGGTTTTTTCTTGTTCTCTGGTACAAAGAATATCTACTTTTAAGCACTAACATAAAATCTTTTTTTTAATTTAAATTTTGGTTTTTCCGCCACCGCTGATCCCCTGTGTGCCCTCCTCCACCTCCACCCCCTGCCCTGCAGTCAGCCCCCCAGCACCCCGAGCCCCGGCCCGCCCCTGCCGTGTCCAGGGGCAGTTGTGAACCCCTCTCTGTGTTCCCAAGCGGTCACTTTCACCGACGTCTTCTTGACTGTGAGAATTGTTCGTAATTGACTAGTAATGCGGACAGTCTGACGTTTTGTGTCGTGTGTAACCGGCGGCACTTTCGATGCTGACTTTCTGGGACCGTGTCTGAATCTCGGCAGGCGCCAGGGCAGTGGGTGGAGCCGGGCACTGGCAGCCCGCGAGCGCCCACTGGCTCTGTCCGGGCGCCGAGACCCACGCATGTCACCTGGACGACAGGTGACTCACCCCACCAACGGACCTGCGTGTGGAAGGGACCGCAGTAGCCCGAGTGCGGACCTGCCGGAACCCGGGAGAGGGCGGAGGCCCCGTTCCTTCGAGCAGGTGGAAGGTCCTGGGGATGGTTCTGAGCTCCCCTGGGGCCCAGCCTGGCCCTGGGGCCGCCCTGCTGCCCCCAGCTGTGTCTCCTCGCCCGGAGGCTGTGTATTTACCCACAGAGGAGACAGGGCTTTCCGGGGGCAGGCAAGGACAGCTGTGAGCTGCACAGAGGCACCCCACAAGGCCGGCGCCCTCCTGGGGCGGATTCCAAAGGTGCCCTGGGTCGGGCAACGGGAGGTTTCTCCCTCCTCTGCCCCGCCTGGCAGGCTGTGCAGGCCTGGGTGATCCGCCCTACGCGGGGATCGGACCGGAGGGAGCTCGTGGGCAAGGAGAAAACCAGAGCGGGGGGAGTCGGGGCCACACATCTGTGGGAACCCGCAAAGTGCGCGTACTGTCCGAATCCCCCCCACTGGCTCCCCGGCCTGCCCACAGAACCCTGTCTCAGAACTGCGCCCCGAGGCTCAAAGGTGATGGTCTGCTTCTCATCCGTGTGCTGCCCACCTCCTGACTGGTTTCACCCGGGGAGAGTAAGGGCCGAGCAGAGTCATTTCTGAAGAATAAGAATCCATGTAGCAGTTGAAATGGGAACGAGCCCAGTTTATTGCCTGGACTGCTCTGACCTGTACATGCGAGCTCAAGCAGAGAAACAGCAGCCATGTCTGGGAGCGGGGGCCGGCCCATGGGCACCGGAGTGACCCCTGGCAGTGTGGGCTCCAGGGACATCCCAGCCGGAACGTCACCTGTCACCGGATGAGCACCGCGGGTGCCGACGTGGTCCCAGTGCGCAGCAGGAGCTCAGCTGATACGTGTTGTGGGCGTAGCTGGAGCCAGCATCAACTCTGCCTGAACCACATGTGTAGAGAGAAATATGTTGTTTTCTGAAATGCGATTTCTGGTCGTATAGAAAGAATCCATCTTATAATTATTGTTAAGTAGTTATTTGAGGGTTTTTTAATATACTTGGAAATACTGATGAAAAATTCTACATGGCAAAAAAAAAAGGTCTTTAATGCTAGGGACTAGCTAATTCCTACTCAACCGTCAGTCCTCAGTGTGTCCTTTTCCTGGGAGTCTTCCCACCAGCCCTCCTGTCCACCTCCTCCTCTTACCCGGGTCTGGAACACACCCCTCCCGGGGCCCCTGGCACTCTGGGCTGGCCTCCCGCCCTGCCCCCGCCGCCCCCTGCCCTGAGGGACCAGCGCATCTCCTGTCCTTGTGGGCTGACACTCCCGAGGTGGTCTGGTGGCTGACCTTGTGGCCCTCGGCATCCAGGGACAATTCAACAAATGTCGTCAGATCACGTGGCAGCACTGAGAGGTGGAGTAAGTTCTCTGCTAGAGGTTTCCTCTGGGTGTCCGTCGGGTCCTGCACAAGTCCCTCACCGCTCACTGCCCCGCGCCAGACCGAGCAAGTCCTGTTGGGGTCTAGGTCCAAGTGACAGTTCAGGCGAAGACACAGGCGAAGAATCCTGAGCTCGGTAATAAAAGGGCGTGTGTGCGTGCGTGCGCGCACGTGCGTGTGCTGCGAGGACATGGAGCACGCTCACCAGGACCAGGCGTCTCGGAAGGACGGGAGCCCTGCCGGCCGAAGGGAGCAGTCTCAGCGTAGCCGCCCCAGCGCTGTGCTCTGCCTCCTGGACCAGGAGGACGTGTCGCTGGTCTAACAGTGGGGGAGCACAGAGGACCGCGATGGGGGAGCAGGCGAAGAAAGGGAGTCGGTGCGCACCCGCCATTGGAACGTTTTGGTAGTGACAAGAAGCAGAACTTACGGAAGCAGCGTGCTTTTTAAAGACTCAAGGAGAAAAATTATTTTCATTCCTCACCCAAGGATATGTTTTTTTGTTTTTGTTTTACTTTAGAGAGAGAGGAAGGGAGCGAGAGAAAGAAAGAGAGAGAGAGAGAGAGAGAAACATCAATCGGTTGCCTTATGTGCCCCCCAACCCGAGGTTGAACCGGTGACCCGGGGTTGAACCTGCAACCCGGGTATGTGCCCTGACGGGAATTGAACCCAAAACCTTTTGGTGGATGGGACGATGCTCCAGCCAGCTGGACCACCCGGCCAGGGCAAGGCTTGTACATTGTAAAATCCGAGGGTGAGGGGTTATTGAGAGGCAGGATTTCAGAACAGCTGAGCCGTAAGTATTAGAGTCAGAACCCTTCGGTCATGAAGGCGTGTGGTGGAGACCGCGGGAAGGGGTTTAGTCTGGTCTTACAGTAAATAAACGTTCAGTGTGGGGAACAGATTATGAAAAGTTGAGGTTGATCACAACCTAAGACGCACCCTGCTGCCACTGGAGAGTCGTTTAAGCTGTTCATGCCCCCCAACCCAATTGGTGTACCCCGATTTCAGTTCAAGAAGGATCAGAGGCAGGACCCACCGGAAAGAGCTGTATGGAGGATTTCTGGAAATCAAATCAGTTTCACAACATTTTCTCATGTAATTTTAATACTTTCCTTTCAGAAAAACATTCAAGTCAAGCAAAGCATGTTTGTGGATTCATTCTTTTTATGGGCATTTAAAGTCTACCTGCTAAGTTGAAGCCGCCAATGCAGAGATTGAAATGTGTCTAATTTTGCTCCGGTCTCCCCAGCCCTTCCCCGGCCCTCGCTCGGGAGGGTGAAGACACAGCAATAGTATCCGTCGTTAGACACTGGCCGCTCGTGATACACGGAGCGAGGTGTTGGACATTACTAACCAGAGCCGCTTTAACAATGAAATCACTGCCTTCCCGCCCCCACCCCCATAATTCTCAAGGGTTTGTCGTTAATAACGTGAACCGAGCCAGAAGTGGTCCTGTCCCCGTTATATAATCATAAATCTTGCCTTGAGGAGATGAAATATAATGTTATCTGTGTGAGTACAATTAGTCAAATGGTCACATTTTGCCTTTGAGTGGACTCCATGCAAATACATGTAGACATTACAGTTGGACGGCACTTGCAGAGATGTAGTGATTTATCCTATTGCCTCTGCAGTGAGAGAGAAAGTTCCCTTTATGCAACTGCTAAAATATGGCAGGTAACGATGCATCCGTGGTTAATATCGCTAATAAATTTGAAAATTCACATTTTTATTGATAAACATTTCCTTGAAGCGCAGTCTGGGAGGACAGACTGTTAAATTTAAGTGCTTTATAAATGAGAGTTGTAGATGGTGGTGCGGACAGAGGCAGCGCAGTGTCCAGGCGTCCACCACCTCACCTGTGCTCAGCAGTGACTTTCATATTTCACTTTTATGTGCAACCAAATCGCACACCATCTTAGGGGGCAAATGAGCCTGGTAACAGGGTAACGATCGTAGTAAATACTGTGCTTCTCCTTGTGGACTTAAATTACATGTAATATTTCAGGGAAATATTTCCATTAGTCTAGCTTAATGTATTGAAATATTTTGCCTGCGAATTTACGTATAGAAGATATACTTAGTTATCTCTTCGACACACACAAAATGCATATTATACAGTCCAGATAATTTGAGGTCTAAAGTTATTTTTATTTCTTAACAGGCGTAAAATATCACTAATATTTCGATCTGCAAAGGCCATCGTGAAATACTGCGTAGCTCAGGGTGCCCAAATAATGGTTGCCTCGTTGGGTTAGTTTCCTTTAGAATTCCAGAAAATTTTTGAGAGAAATAAATTTCTACCTTAAAACAATATTCCAGGATTCCTCTTAAAATGCATAGCATTTAAAATACATGTTTGTCGCTCACGTTTTGCCGTACTTAATCATTATACAGGTTTCGGAGTGCTTCCTCCTGATTGCCTTCCGCATTGATCGGCGCGTGCAATTTTCTGAGCTTCATTCTGTGCTGTCTGTGGACTTCATGTCCCCCTTGTTTATTCCCATAAAGATTCCAGAAGCTTATTTCGTTAGCGAATCCCCATACGTTCCTTCCTACGGAGGACTTTGACGAGGTGTATGCGTTGAATTCCGTGTTAAATGGGTTCCGTGTCCTCTGGCATTGGCCGTGTGCATGTGCTCGCAGGTTACCATCTGCACACTGCACCAGCTTCTGAATCAGACAGTGACTTAGTCAACAAGCACATTTGGAGGGACACTCCCAGCTCGTCCACAAGGACTGGCCCTTGGACGGCGGCCCCTGGGAGGAGGGCACGTGGTGAGCCCCCTGGACGCCTTCCGTGCCGACTTGGGTCCACGCACATGGCCAGGGCGTCTTGAGCTCCTCGGTGTAACCCTTGACTGTAACCCTGTCCCTCCCCGCAGGCCATGGAGGCACAGATCCAGAACTTCGGACAGACGCCCTCACAGCTGCTCATCGAGCCCCACCCGCCCCGGAGCTCGGCCATGCACCTGGTGAGACAGCGCCTTGGGGGTTCCCCGTAGCTGGGTGCAGAGCAAATGGGAGAGTGTTGGCTGTGCTGTGGGGTCACCTTCACCTGGGTGTCCACTGATCGCCGAGGGAGGGACAGAGAGGGGAGTGCGTCCTGCCGGCTCCCCAGAGGGCCGTCTCCTCTGACCGCACCTGCCTCTGCGACACCCCCTGCACACGGGCAGCCAAGTCCGAGGTTTATAAGTTATAATGAAGACCCCATAAACAAATCACGTTGCCCAGTTGAATCTTTTCGGGCAAGGTGAGGTGAGGGGAGTAGATCATTTTAAGAGAAGAAAAGATACACTAAAGTAACTTATGGCCACGGCAGAGAGGCGGGGGAGCAGAGGGGCTGAGACCGAGGGCCGGAGCAGGGTCGGGTGAGACCCCGCCTCTGGCACTGACTCGGGAGGGACGTAGGCAAGGTCTTTATAACATCTTCACGGCCCGTCATCCCTGAGAGGCTCACACCCTGCGGATGGCACCTGCCTGGGCACCTGGCATGCAGGGAGCGCTCAGACACCAGCTGGTGTCCTCAGTCATCATGAGCTCCTTGAACTAAAACGTGATTCCCACTGGCAAAGGAGCACACAATGTCCTTTTTACTCGAATGTGAATTTTAAAAGCCCATTTTCATAGCAAAGCAGTCCTTTTTAGCAAATAGTGAACATGTCCCTCTTGATCTAATTTGAAGAGGGTAAAACTTTTTCTGATACATTTATTTAGAATTTATCTTTTACTGATTTTTTTACCTTTTTTTTTTCTCTACTAAAAAATGCTGGAAGGTAAAAATGTATTTCCAAAATGTGATGAATTACAGCATAGCAGTTTTTCTAGACAGTTCTCAAGATACCCTAATTTGGGGGAAAGGGCTTTGGAATAGGGCTCCCACTCTATGCGCACACACATTTATGGGAGTATTTTCTACACCTCTCATTTATTCTGTCGGTACGTAACAGATTTGTACCGAGCGCCTTCTGTACGTCAGGCGTGGTGGGATCACGGCGGTACACAGGCAAACGCGTTGGGAGTCAGTCATCAGACTCCTAGTGAAACACAAATATAAGTGTCTGTTTGAAGACATTTGTTTTCTCTCCAATGGCTCCACCAGTTTCAGCCCCTTGATTGGTGACTAATGGACTCTTCCGGCTGACCGTGTCCTCGTGTGACCAAGCAGACGGGTCTGCACCGGGGTCCCGTTCCCACACACACACCCAGTCACCGGCAGACCGGGCGCCTCAAGCCTGGGATGAGGCGTTTTAGTAAACTGTCCGCGAGAATACATCTCACACTCCACTTTATGAGATGCTTTGGCACAAGAGTTTATCCCAGAGTTATTTTTCTCTGTTTAATAATGATAATAATAATATTTATCCTGGATGAATGCCCAGTCCGAATTCACTGCTTTCCTAAGGGAGCTGTTAAAGACTAAATCGACATGGATCTGTTGATAAAGAAAATATAAGCTTTCTAAGTTCATGTAGCAGAGAATTCATATATATTGCAGACAATTACAGACCATGTATGAGAGCGAAATGATGGTTCTTTCCAGGATCCCTATTTTGTGTCTTTATAGAATAGTGTTGATAGTGTTTTGTCGTACTCACTAGTAGTACGTATAGTATCTACTTTCTCTGGAGTCATATGCTGGGAGTTTGAGAAACAACGATTTAGAAAACGGAGGCAGGTCTGGCCCACGGGGCTGTCCGGAAGGTAGGAGGCGTGACCACGAGCAGTAGGTAGTGCCACTGCGGAATGGGGGCAGGCCGTGTTGGGGTGCTGCTGGCCAGACCCCGGCCGGCAGGTGCAGAATGAACATACCGGTGCATTGACTCTATATTCCGTGTAAATACTGTCAGTCACTGACTCCGCTTATCTTCCCGCCACCCCTGCCCTTTAGCGGCAGTGGGTGTGTGTGCGGTGTCGGGTGGACACGCCTGCAGGCTAACTTCTCACACTGCAGCTGTGGAACTCGGGCGGAGGCTGGCGGTTGAGACCCCGGGGCCCTCCCGGTGACGGCCAGAGGCCCCGCTCCTGTCCCTGTGCTGTCGCCGCAGCGCCGGCCTCAGCACGCGTTGTCCGCCGTGTGTGCCCGGCCAGCCTCGTCTGTCTGAACCCCCGTCCCAGCACAGTCACTAACTGCCTGTCCCTCTGTTCTCTTCGCTCCTCCCTTTCTATTCAACAGTGTTTCCTTCCACAGAGTCCGCTCATGTTTAAAGATCAGATGCAGCAGGATGTCATCATGGTGCTGAAGTTCCCGTCCAATTCTCCGGTGACCCACGTGGCGGCCAACACACTGCCGCACCTGACCATCCCCGCCGTGGTGACCGTGACCTGCAGCAGGCTGTTTGCGGTGAACCGGTGGCACAACACCGTAGGTACGTGCGCCCCGCAGGCCCTCCCAGGGCCCTTCAGCCCGCGCTGGGGGGGGGGGGGTGTCAGTGCCGCAGGGCGCTGGCTGTGGTTCGTGTTCAGTTAACATCCGGTGGATAGAAGCAGGTCCACAGGTTAGTGCGGTCCTTCCACCCCCAGAAAACCCAACCGTTTTCCCGTGTTAAACACGGGTGAGCTGGAACCTCTTGAATGTGCATTTTCTGACGGTGGTTCCAGACCCTCTTTCGTTCACGTCAGTCATTTCTTCAGCAATGCCTGAGTGGCCACTGTGCGCCAGACGGTCCTGCGCACGGGCGCAGCGCGGTGGCCGGCAGACACGCCTTCCCCTGCAGAGCTCGGCCACTTTGAGAAGAGACAGAGTGAATGATTCAGGGAGTTCACAGGCGCTCTCTTCAGACTCAGTCCTGACAGTTCCAGCCGGTTCATCTCGAAGCGATACAATTCTGTACTTAATTCTGATACTTAATCAGGACAGAAGTGGATGACACCAAACTGTTTAGTTGGCCCAGTTCACCACCTGACTCTCCCTGGAAGCCCAGGACTCCTGCTGTGTCCAGGCCCGAATGGACGAGCCACGGACTGACCTCAGCGTGTTGATTTCCGTATCGCTCCGAGCAGTGGTGATTTCCCACAGCTTGTTCTCTTAAAAGTTTCTAAGTGCGCCCATTCACAGTCTCTGGTGCCATTGTCAACATGAGGCAGAACTACTTCCACTCGATCAGAAATGTATAGCAAGCATCTTCAAAACGCAGGACTGGGCCCTGGCAGGTTTGGCTCAGTGGTTAGAGTGTTGACCCGCAGACCAGAGAGACCCGGGTTCGGTTCCTGCTAAGGGCATGTACCTCGGTCGCAGTTTGTCCCCGGTCCTGGTTGGGGTCGTGTGAGTGGCAACCATTCTGTGTGTCTCTCTCACATTGATGTTTCTCTCTCTCTTCGGCTCTATCTGAAGATAAATGCAAAAATGTCCTTGGGTGAGGATGAAAAAAAAAACACAGGGCTGGACAAAAGCAGGTTTATTGTTGTTCATATGGAAAATAATATAGTAATAAATAAACAGTAATACAAGAATTAACCAGCCCTGGCCAGCGTGGCTCAGTTGGTTGGGCTCGTCCAGTGCACTGAAGTGTTGCTGGTTCAATTCCCGGTCAGGGCACACGCCCAGGCTGCAGGCTCCATCCCCATGAAGGCGTGCAGGACGCAGCTGATCAGATTTTTGCTCTCACATCAGTGTGTCTTTGTCTCCTTCTCTCTTCCTCTCTCTGTAAAAATCAATAAAAAATGTGAAAAAATGAATAAACTCTCTGTTTTGCATACTCACAACTGTAAACCTACTTTTGCCCCACCCTATATACGATTATTCACAAAAGTCTTCGCCTTTCAGAAATGTTTTGCATTGAGAAAAAATTATGAAAGACTAAATTTTTCCTTAGAATTATTCAAAAACATTATATGTTATATAACCACATGTAAAAAATTATGACTAAACTCAATCACGCCCTAAACATTAATCCTCTGAGATTAAGATTTTACTGAGGTTACGACGTTAGGTGTGGCTAAATTTTATTTTATTTAAAAACATTTTTTTTCTCTTTAGTGTTTATGCCTGTTGAGCATGATGTTGGCTGTAGGTTTTCCATATATGGCCTTTATTTGTTGAGATATGATCCCTCTATTCCCACATTGCTGAGCATTTTTATCAGAAATGGGGGCTGGATTTTGTCGAATGCTTTTTCAATATCTACTGATATAATCATATGGTTTTTATCTTTCATTTTTTTGTGTGGTGTATCACATTTATTGATTTGCAAATATTGTACCAGCCTTGCATCCCTGGAATGACTCCCTCTTGGTCATGGGGAATAATTTTTTTCATGTATTGCTGGATCTGATTTGCTAGTATTTTGTTCAGGATTTTGGCATCTGTGTTCATCAGGGATATTGGCCTGTAGTTTTCTTTCTTTGTAGTGTCTTTATCTGGTTTTGGAATTAGAATTATGCTGGCCTCATAAAACGAGTTTGGAAGTGTTCCTTCTTCTTGAATTTTTTGAAATAGTTTGAGGAGAATGGGTGTTAGTTCATCTTTGAATGTTCAGTAAAACTCCCCCGTGAAGCCATCTGGGCCTGGGTTTTTGTTTGCTGGGAGTTTCTTGATTACATCTTCAATTTCCTTAGTTGTTATTGGTTTGTTCAAGTTTTCTATCTCTTCCCAGTTCAGTTTTGGGAGACACTGTGTTTCTGGAAATTTGTCCATTTTGCCTAGGTTGTCCAATTTATTGGCATATAATTATTCATAATATTTTTTAATGATCATTTGTATTTCTGTGATGTCAGTTGTTACTTCTCCTCTTTTGTTTCTGATTTTATTTGGATCCTCTCTTTTTGTTTCTTGGTAGGTCTGGCTAAGGGTCCATCAATCTTGTTTATCTTTTCAAAGAACTAGCTCTTTGTTTCATTGATCTTTTGAATTGTTTTTCTTTTAGTTTCTATGTTGTTTATTTCTGCTCTGATCTTAACTATTTGTTTCCTTCTACTTGCTCTGGAGTTTACTTTCTGTTTGCTTTCTAGTTCTTTAAGTTGTGAGGTTAGATAGTCACTGAGAAATTTTTCTTGCTTCTTGAGGTAGGCCTGTAGTGCTATGAACTTCCCTCTCAGGACTACTTTCGCTGCATCCCATAGATTTTGTGTTGTTGTGTGTTCATTTTCATTGGTTTCCAGGAATTTTAGAGAGAGAGGTAGGGAGAGGGAGAGAGAGAGAAACATCAATGAGAGAGAACATCGATTGGCTGCCTCCTGCACGCCCTCCACTGGGGATGTAGCCCACAACCTGGGCATGTGCCCTGATCGGGATTGGAACCAGTGACCTCTTCATCGATGCTCAACCACTGAGCCGCACTGGCTGGGCGTGGCTCAATTTCATACCTTCAATTGACTTGTCCTGTGTGAAAGGTGGCGCTCGTGAGTGGGACCCCATCTTCCCCTCTGCCTGTGCCCAGGTGAACCTGTGCTCACACCCGTCACATAGGCCTTGTCTTAGATTTCAGCCTCAGTGGGTGCCCAGCAGTCTTAGCTCTCTCTGGGGTTCAAGAAATGTCATGACCATCTCTTTTATCCAGCTTTTTCTTGTCGTTAGTACATTAGCACTTTTCAGATTTCCACATTCTACACCCTAAGGGGAAACTAGCAATCGCTATTGTAATGCTTTTTTGAGAGTATCTACAAAGACGTGTGGTGGGACTGAATCATTCTTACAATAATTTACCAAATAATTTTACGCAAATGTGTATTTTGTATGATTATCATAAAACACGGCCTATTAGAAAATGCCTCTTTTCCGAGAATGTGATGGTAGTTTTCTCTTCTTATTTAATGTGTAGGTCTCAGAGGAGCTCCGGGGTACTCCTTGGATCAAGCCCACCATCTCCCCATTGAAATGGACCCGCTCATTGGTACGCTAACAACAGCATGTTCCCACGGATGCTGACTGTCCACAGATTCTTTTGTGGTTATTTATCACAAATGACAGTTGAATGATATTTTTTTCTGCCACAAAATTAATGTGGAAATGATGCCAAATCACCACCGAAGAGCTGTGCAAAGCTAATGTGCAATCTGAGGACTGTTTGGTATTAAACAATTATTTGTGGCTTTCCTCTGTGTTAGGTCATTTTAGTTGGTTCTAAACAAGGCAAACACAGGGTGTCCACAAAAAATGGATACAGGGTGTCTGTAGATTCTATTACATTTTGAAAATGAAATGCATTTTAATAACCACTGGCTTCATATTTATTCAAAGTGTGTATACATTTTGGGGAACACCCTTTATTTCCAAACTGCTCTTTTTTTCAGCCTACACTAGTCTTTTATAGCTTTATCGTATTTAAAATATATAAAAGCTCAAAAAGATGATTAAAGAAAACTAATACTGAAAAACATCTTGTTTAGACATCTTTACTTAGGTAGACTAAACCAGTGTTTAAATGAAAGATTTTATATGAGTTGCAAGCTCGTGAGCTGTAACTCTTTGCAGAGACATCACAAATACTTCAGGAGAATCGCACGCATGTACCAGCCGTGTGGCTCTTGCACGCCCTCAGTCTCCCTCAGCCTCATGCGTGCAGGATGGTTTATAGCACTGATGCTGGCTCTGCCTGCTGCCGGGGTCATGGAGAGAACTGAATTAGAAAAAAATCAAAATTCTTTGAAGAATTATTAAACCATATACAAGTTACAGTGTTTTTCTTAGCTTCATTCACCCTTTACCTTTGAACCCAGAGGTGAGAGAGAGGCAGTCGCTTCAGTCAGGCCGCGCACAGAACAGCATGTTCATGCCTCCGGGAGGAAGAAGGCTCAGGACCAGGGACATTTTAGAGCCCAGCTGTGCCGAGAAACATCAACAGTGCCGCAGACAGGTGGAGCGTAGCCGTGGAAAAATTAATCGTTATAGTCTAATAATAAAGGACCAATTATATAGTTGCATAGCATTATAACTTGCGTAGTGTTTAAGCGACTTGGGATCTTTAATTTTATTTCTCCTTGCTTTTGTATACATTTTGGGGTTTATCTCCTCTAGCAATGATTGTAATGATTCTCATCGGGTCGGCCGAGCTCCAGACAGCAGCTGGCAGATCTCAGTGGCGTTAGGGAGGGATGGTGGTCTCTGCGTCTGCGTTTCTGTTTGAGGACCGAGCCCAGAGCCAGGGCCCGGGAAGGGCCGCGCGGAGCAGGCCCAGGCCGCATACAGGTGGGCGCAGGACGTCTGCCCTGCTCTGCGTTCCGGCCTGATTCAGATCTAGTCCCGGTGCTGTCCACTGACTGCGCCCGTCTCCCTCCTCCGCAGGCCCTCGCCCAGCTCCCTACCCCTGCTCCCCTGCCAGCCTGCTGGGAGCCCCTCTCTCTGCTGACAGCCAGGTCTCAGGCGGCTGACCAGCTCCCGTGGGCCTGCCCACGCAGCAGCGTCCTCGCCGGGCCTCTGCCCCCTCTTTCCCGTGCATCGTAATGCCGCCAGCACACGACAGAGAGGGGCGAATATTCAGATGGTTTTTCTTACATAGCACACCCCATGCACTGTATCCATCGAATTAAATGAATTTAGATATTTTTATCATGTTAAAGTCCTTATTTTGAATTCCTCGTCTTGTATTTATTGATTGGAGGAAGAACTTAAATTTATGACCATTTTTAAATATGTAATATGATTTATAAATAATGACTGCTACTGAAATGTTTCTGTTCCTCATGGGTAAATGTTAAAATCTTAATACTCTTACAGCCTTAAGAAAACATTTCGACAGAGATAAAGTGTAAGGGCATCCCTTGTATAAGTGCTCGTGAAACTCATGGGAAATATTGCTTTGATTTCTCCCTGTTTACGTTCAGCCAACAACTCGGGTGTGAGCAGGCGGCAGATCACAGACCTCGTGGACCAGAGCATCCAGATCAACGCGCACTGTTTCGTGGTCACGGCTGACAACCGCTACATCCTCATCTGTGGGTTCTGGGACAAGAGCTTCAGGGTGTATTCCACAGAAACAGGTAAGCTCCTTTGAAACCACATTCTCTCCCAAATGCCCGTGGTTGCACCCACGCTCACTGGGAAGCCACATCATGTAGGCATCTTCATCTGGAGTTGCCAACATCCGAATTCAATGTTTGCCTTGTAAGTTAATGACAGGTGACCGCGCCATGCGTGCTGAGCTGTAGCGTGAACCCTGGCTTCACGGGACAAAAGGGACTGTGGTCTTCTTCCCCAAATCAGATTCAGGAAGAGACCTCAAGTCTCCCCTCACTCTGGTCCCAACAACAAAACCATCACTGTGTTATCTTGTAAGTCCTTCTCTTAAAATTCCCGAGTGATACTCTCGTAGTAGTTTTCAGAGGCAACTCAAGAAAGCAAATCTGTAGCTAGGTTTGAATTACCGTACAAACTTGCAGGTCTGTAGGGGCGCCTTTCACCAATCTAGTAAAATAAAGTTATCATTTGAGGAAAAAGAGTAAACAAATTAAACCTGCCATTTCTGTTTCAGGGAAATTAACTCAGATTGTGTTTGGCCACTGGGATGTGGTCACCTGCTTGGCCAGGTCAGAGTCGTACATAGGTGGGGACTGCTACATTGTGTCGGGGTCCCGGGACGCGACGCTGCTCCTCTGGTACTGGAGCGGGCGGCACCACATCATCGGAGACAACCCGAACAGCAGTGAGTACCGCCGGCCGTCAGTCACGCCGCGTGCGGCTCGGTCCGAGTCCCCTTCTTAGTTCCGATCGCTTTCCCTGAGGTGGTGAGGGTTTTAAAATATGAAAGCATGAGTGGCAACATTTTCTATCGGAATGTAGCTACGTTCAAAGTGTAAAAGCCCTGGCCGGTTTGGCTCAGTGGTCAGAGCGCCAGCCCACGGACCAGTGAGTCGCGGGTCCGATTCCAGTCAAGGGCACAGGCCTCGGTTGAGGTTCATCCCCGGCCCTGGTCAGGTCGTGCGGGAGGCCAGTCGGTGTGTCTCTCTCACATCGATGTTCCTCTCTCTTTCTCCCCCCCTCCCTCCCAATCTATTTGAAGATAAACAGAAAAATGTCCTTGGGTGAGGATTTAAAATATTAAGTATTTTTTAAAAAAAGAAAACATGTGTATCACCCCTCCCAGCTCTGCTCTGAGCTGAGAGCTAAGCTGTGACGCTGGTCTGGGGAAGGAAGGCTCCCGTCGCCGGCTTCCGAGCCGGTCAGACTCTTCGGGCCAAGTCCGCCTGACAGCGGCCCGGGCGTCAGGCGCTGACGCCCACCCTCCGTGTGCTCCTTTTGAAAACCGTGTACTTAAAAATTTACTTTACCGGAATTCTGGGGTGTTTGTTGATCTGCCAGTGATGGCTTTCTTACCCTCCGGTATGGTACATTATCACGTTCTTTTATCTAAATGTATTTTCATAAATTTCCAAATTTGCTTTATGCCCACAGTAGCGTGACATTCATTGGAAAAGTTGAATTCCGCAGCAAGTTTGTGTAGTATCTTTTATTTATATTGACAACAATTAGACTTATTATAAAAAAATATTTTAAACCAAATACTGCTTTCAATCCAATTAACTAACATCTTCAAAATGAAGCTCAGAAATGATTAAAATGATATTTCAAAAAATGGATGTATTTCTTGAAAGCTACCATCTGGTAGTAGAGATAAGGTGTTTTATATGATGTACTTCTGTGAGGTAAAGACTTTCAAAGAAAAATGTTAAATTATAGTAATTATCTGTGCTAGCCACTTTATTTTACATCATTTTCTAATATTCTTTTAAACCGAAAGATGGCTAACCACTGATTATAGCTTTAGTCCATCAGTTGGCAAGAAATGTTAGATGCAGTAATATTTACTGTTTAAAGTTCCCTGTAGCAGGAGCTCTATAAATAGAAACATTTCTATTAACCCTTAAAAACAAAATTATGAATGCTGTATTTGTTAAAAGGCAGCATTTTATTTAAGCTTTAAACAGAGACACGATTGCCCTTAAGATGTTAAAGCAGGATATTATCAGTATAAAGTTTTTAGTGTTACCTCCATATATAAGAATTTATTCTTGATCAAAGAATGTCATCATTATGAAGCTAAACCACTTTCATAAGACCCACCTCGCCAGAACTGTATTGGGCATTTAATGGGCACGCATGCAATGTGGCTTTATTTCATGTCATCTTGACCACGGGGCGGGGCTCCTTGAGAACAGGGTGAGAAGCCGTAGTGTTGCCCGGCCTACAGGCATCATTGAATGCCTGCCGGGTGCTGGTGCTGTCCTTTTTCAAAAATTAATTGGGGTGACTCTGTTTACCAAATGCCACAGGTCCCAGGGGCACATCATCTGCACAGGGTACAGTGTGTTCACCACCCCAAGGCAGGTCTCCCCCCATCACCGTTTATGCCCCAACCTCCCCCAGCCCCTCCCCCCAGCAGCTGTCGGCCGGCCCGCTATCTGTGAGTCTGTCTCTGTTCTGCTTGTTAGTTCATTTTGTTAATTAGATTCCACATATGACTGAGATCATTGGTAGTTGTCTCTCTGACTGCTTATGTCACTGTGCGTGATGCTGTCCAGGTCTGAGCAGTGGGGCGCGGGGTCCCAGCCCCTGCTCCGGAGTCTGCAGGCATCTATGTGCTGCTCACAAAGCTGCCTTTCTTGTTCGGATGTACTGATACGTTACATATGTGCTACATGAATCACGAATTGCTATCAGATGACACTTGGTGTCATTAGTACTTTGAGCATCTATAAAATGCTTAGCCTTACCTCTTGGGTACAAATTGATGATTATGTGAAAACTGCCTTCAGCTTTTTGCCATATATATAATCACAATAGGAAAAAATCATAATTAGTCATACTTAGTATTTGATTGACTGGACAGATTCATGGCCCGATCTGGGGAAAGGGCCAGCCCAGCAGCACAGATAAATACTCGTGGCTAGAGACCCTCTGTGCTGGCCGGTTCACGTTCTGCTCTTTCTGTAGAGAGCACACCCTGAACTGACTGTCCCATCAGGGGTCAGGTGTGGCTGTTGACATACCATCAGAAAACTCACAATATGGACGAAAAAGGTGTTTTTTTTCTGGTCCAGTTTAATCTGTTCTAGCTACCCATTCCCAGGTCAGAGAACCAGGCTACGTGTTTTCCGTTTCATACTCCACTGTTGCTCAAGACCAGGAAACCGGTTATGTACAAATTCATAGCAAAGTGCACGACACAGCACCCTGAGGTTTGGGGTTGGGTATCTTATTAACCTGGACTTGAGGTGGTCCTGGCATGAGACATAATATTCCCGCAGCCGTTAGGGCTCAGGGCTTGGCTTTGGTGTAGATAATGGATCGCTTCGCGTGTCAGAGGCCGAGTCGTGTTCACACAGCATGCGACGTGGGGTTCCTTCCCTCACCTGCAGGTCCAGGTCCCCTCAACACTGGCTAGCTTTACAGTTGTGAGCATGTGGAAGTTTGTTCTTGTACTATTATTGATTTGTTTTTTTAATGTTTATTTGAATTATTTGTCTTATTTTGATTGTTGTATATCTTGATCTGTGACTTATCTTTTAGACAGCGATGCCTGGCCGCTGACCCGACTTTGTCCGCCACCGTTCATGTCTCTTTTCCTTGTTATTTCCAGTGGGTAGCTCCTTTAGCGCCACAGGGCAAAAATGAGTGATGTTTGCAGATTTTTTTTAGGTATAGAAAGAGTTTCTGGTTTTATTGTGTCAAAACATCTCAGAAACAATTTTTTTTTTCTAATTATTTCATGGTTTTAATGACTGTATGACAAGACAAGGAACAATTTTAAACAGATTATCAGAAAGCATTTAGGCCGCAGGAAAATAAAGAAAAGGCTTGCCCAGCATAGGTTGCAGTTGGCTTACAGTGGTTGTGTTCATATTTTACAGTACTAATAATCATCACTACTCTTTTCAAACTGGTGACTGTGAACATAGGAAACATTCCTAGAGATTTAAATAGGTCTCTGACTTGATAACAGTTGCAGACATGTGAGGGACAGATGCTTTAATCTGAATCAGACTTCTCCACAAATTCTGAAACTAATTTGGAAGTGATAAAAATTAATTTGCGCACTTTAATTGGAAGCAGCCTACTGCATGGGAAAGGGACGCGGACAGGCCATTTGTGCTCAAGGCTGATTGGATTTTTGTCAGGTAGCATCTTGGACTTGGCCGCATATTCTCCTGAGCCCCTCTCTGCAATATATTACAACCCATCCTGCCTGGTGTTCTTTAAAAGGATCAATGCTATTCTGTTGGATCCCTGGAGCCCAGGATTCCATTGATCTGGCGACTTGACATTTCTCATTATGTGCAGTGTCTTCCAGCAAGAGTCCCAAGAGGAGCGAGGCAACATTGTTGCCTCTTCAACTGACACTAAAAATACACTCAGAATCAAATCTGCCTCCCAAGCGGGTGGCTTTAATGTTTATATCACGATGAGATGCTTTGGAGGGAGCTAGTTGATACACATATAGGACATTTTAAAAATCATAGCAATAGGAAACTTTGAAAGAATTTGCTGTTCATCTTTTCAGATCAAATCTACAAATACCTGAGTAATATGTATAAGATATCGGTACCATGCTTTTTCTATTTTGCTTTTTAAAAACAAATTATTTAGCGATGGAGAAGCGTTATGCACACAGGGAAATGAAGCCCACTGGAGAGGAGACTTCAGCCCTGCACACCCCTTCCCAGGCCCCCACTGTGCACGCCAGAGACTCCGACCCTCCCGCCCACCACAACCTGTCAGGAACACTGGCCCAGTGCCACCTGCTCCATCTGCATCCAGACTTCCCTTCCAGTGACCGTCCTGGTACCACTGCGCCACAGGAGACCGGAGCCTGGTGGAAGGTGGGCCAGAGCTACCCCGGTGTGTGCCTGCCTAGGAGATGATGCATTTGCCTCGCTGCTCAGAGCAAGGAGTCCTCGCAGGTTTAGTGTATGTGAAGTATCAGGGGACAGGATGTGTAGAAAGTGTCACCTCCCAGGACTTTGAGGGCCAGACGATGTGTGTAGTGGACCATCTCTGGCAGAGACGTCCTGGCGGGCAGCTCAGCCACCCACACTGGGAAGGGGGCTGGGGGCTGGCGGCTGCCGCTGGGTCTCTGCCCTCTGTGGGACCAAGGCTCAGGGGCCTTTGGCCTGGGTCAGAAGCAGATAAACGGAAGTGACTGGCCTTTCTGGTGGTCAGAGAGGAAGAGGTCTGCCCAGCAGCAGCGGGGCTCGGGGAAGGCGTGGCCCTGTGGTCTCCCGGAGGGATGCATGGTTAGGTTCTCTCTTCTGTCTCACTGAGCACTCTGCATATGTGATCACGTGAAACCACAGCACGGATGTTTTCCTTCGCGGAATGTTTTTCATGTGGGTTACTGTGTGCCCTGTGGGGAATGTGAGCCCAGGCATCTGGGCACAGGGGACCTCAGCTGTGGCCTGCAGGTCGCTGAGGACGGGGCACCTCCATAAGAGACTCCCCGCGCGCAGTTCTTCCGGGCTGTCCCAGTAAACATCTCACACAATTTTTAAATGAATCTTGAAATCACAGTAGTGATGGAAGTGCACCCATGGATTAAATCCCCTATTCTGGGATTTAAGTCCAAAACCGATCACATCTTATGTGGGCATCAACACGAACGAAGAGACAGTCTGCAGTGACTGAGCAGGGACCTCACCGCCGGCGCCGTGCAGCCCGGGCGGGAGGTGCAGGCCCCGCTCCGGGGGTGCGGGCCCCACTCCGGGGGTGCGGGCCCACTCCGGGGGTGCCGGCCCACTCCGGGGTGCGGGCCCCGCTCCGAGGCGGCCGCGGGCCGCGGACCCGGAAAGGCTGGCCCTGCTCAGCTCCAGTCAGCAGGGCCGAGCGCACAGGGTCCCACAGAGCAGGTCTGAGGCGAGAACCATGAGCCACGGCGACTCTGATCCTCCCCCTGGAAGCCGCAGACGACCTCGCCGCTCCCGTGCCAGCCGTGTGGAGCCGCCTCCAGGCCTTTGTCCTGCGCCATCCGTTTGGAAAACACGGGCGGTGTCGGGTGAGCGCGAGGGGGATCTGTGACTCGCCGTTCTGTATTTGGAGGGTCTGCGCGTGGCCCTAAGGAATCTCGAAACTGGCCGCGTTCTTGGTCTGTGGCCCTGGGCCGCCCACCACGCAGACCCCGTGCGGAGGACACAGCGCTGGCCGTGGCCCGGGGCCGCACCGCCCTGCCTGCGACCCGCCACCTCCCCCGCGGGCTGGGCAGTACCCCCGACTCGGGACGAACGTCGGAGTGTGACCTCCGTCCCTGGCCGGGGAAAGGAAACAGAAGTGTGCTCTCCCCGGCCGCCGGTTCTCCAGCTCGAAGCTCCTGACATTCACTCACTTTCCCTGGTTTCGGGGGGCGCAGTGCTCCGGGGCGTCCTGACGCCCCCTCGCGCCCAGGTTCTGCGGTCCACCCAGAGGGTCTGGGAAATTGCGATGCGAGCAAAACATCTTCAACTTTCCAAATCAGATGCCGGCCTTTGAAAACTCATTTCCTCGTAGAAAATGTATCTCATACGTAAGAAACACCTAAAAAGTTTTTACACCGTTTTTTCAGTTCCCTGCAAGAGAACGAGATGGCCTGTTATCCTTTCTGTACCGTGAAGGGAAAAGTCTGGGAAACTCTTTCACTGTATATAAACTTTATTAAACATGCAGTTTTGAGGGTTTTTGCATTAGTCTCTCTGAGATAAAGTGAATAATTTAGAAGAATTAAGGAAAATATTTCACGTACAAATCTTAATCCTTATGTTACCAGGGAATTCAGGACATCTTTGAAGCATAATTTTATAAATTACATAAATATGTTTCAGACAACCCCAGGGCTGCTGACAATTACAAGCAGTGCTCAGCATGTCATAGATGTACATACATGTGGAAAGGAGCACCGCTGGCGTGGTCGGCCCCCAGCTCACACTCACACACACACACACACAGTCACGTACACACACTCACACACACATACACTCACAGTCAGACACACACATACACAGACACACACATATACACTCACACATACACACTCAGACACACATTCAGACACACATTCACACATACACACACATATGAACTCACACACACACACTACACACACTCACATACACACACACACACACACACACACACCGATGCCATCCAAGTAAAAGTTACCTCAAAGGCAAAATCAAAGCTGATGGAGCCAAGAAAACCCCCATAACAGTGAGAGCAGTTTCTGGGGAGACAGGATGGTGGGTGTGGAAGAGGAGGTGCAGGCAGACCCGAGGAGAGCGTGTCGCTGCCTCGTGGGGACACGGGCACAGATTTCCACTCCATCTGGATACAAGTTCACAGAGGAACCCAGGCCCCGGGCGAGAGCCCAAGCGCTGGAAGGAAACGGGTGAACCAGCAGCCAGTGGAGCAGAATGAACGGAGGAGGAAGGAATTCTTCCTGAGGAGCCACGATGCTCTCCGAGTCCGCGGCGTGAGGAAGAATGGAAAGGAACGCAGTCAGTGTTCTAACAACTAGGCACGGTGCAGGAATGGTTGGGGTGCTCACTTGCTGAGTTAGGTAATCTCTGGGGACTGGGGTGTGCATCAGAGACTCCTACAATGACGTGTGTCAACTGTAATTGAAAAGAAAAGTGATTCCAAAGCAGGGAGCCCTGGCTACAAAGTTACTGCCAATGTTGCATATTTCTTAACCTAGCGGGTGAGTACAAGAGAATTTGTTTTCCTTTAATCTTATCCGTAGTTATAAATATTTAATCTTTAAGTCATTCCTATAAAGTATTTCATTCTGAAGACAAAGCGAGACCGCCGTGCAGAAGCTGCGAACTAGAAGAGAATGTGTGGACTTGGAGAAAGGACACAGCGCAGTCCTGTTTCCGGACTGAGGAGCACGTGGCCCAGAGACAGCGAATCGTCACTAACGGTGACCGAGGACTGCGTTCTTGGACCTGGCGCCCAGCCGGGGAAACGCGGACTCAGTTACTCAGATTTCCCTTGTAAACGGTCGTGGCATGAGGTTTAACAGCAAAGAGGAATTTTATTCCTATAACTGATCGAAAAATATGTTAGCGTATCATCAAAACACAATTTGAAATTTTTGTAGAATGTTTCCACCTCCGGAAAATACGCGCAGATCGCAGGGCACAGACGCGCTTGAGAATCACGGAGTCGGAGAGTCGCAGCTGCAGGCCAGGAGGCCGCGCGCCTGTCGGGGAAGCGCCGTGTGCCAGGAGCACGCGGCTTTCGGAGAATGACGGCGTGCATGTGTGCAAAGCACCTTACGTGTACCACTTCCTCTACGCTAAGGTGACGCTGTAGAATCCACTGCACAGTACCTCCGGGATGAACCACCGTCAGAGCTAGAACGTTTCAAAATGAAAGGACAGAGCCCTGGCCAGTGTGGCCCGGTGGTTGGAGCATCGTCCCACCCACCAAAAGGTGGAGGGTTCAGTTCCCAGTCAGGGCATTTGCCCAGGGTCTGGGTTTGCTCCTGGGTCAGGGCCGGTGCGACAGGCAGCTGGTCGCTGTTTCTCTCTCCCTCTCTTCCTCTCTAAAATCGATTAAAAAATTTTTAATTAAAAAAGAGAAATAGGCAACATAAGATATGAATGAGTGTGATGTCAGTGGAAAAGTGGGGTACCCCAAGGCATTGCTGTTTGTTGAATCTGATTGTATTGCTTGTGTTTCGTGTCCTTTCTGGCGACGCTGCCCCCAGGGAGCCCCAGGCCCCCCTCACTGCCCACACTGGCTCTCATCCACCAGAGGAGCCGCCCGGCCCTTCCCAGGTGGGCGCCGCGCCGTCCACCTTCTACACGTCCTCTCTGTGCTGTTTTCTGTTCCCCTGCATTTGCACCCCAAACTGCCGAGCGCCCTCCCTTCATCCCAGACTGGCTTCCCTCGTTCACCCAGTCAGACGTGTGGGCACGAGGCCCTCTCCCCTTTGCCGGCCCTGCGCACCCTGTCCCCATGCCGGGTTCCACCAGTGTCCTGGTTCTCTCTCCACACGCATGTGGCTGTCGGCCCCGCTGTGCTCTGTGCACACACTTCACGTCCACGCGTGTCACTGCCGTGTGCTGTCGCTGAGGGCTAGCCGGTGCAAGGCCATGGCTGCCCTGTGTTCTCGGCGGTTCCAGCTGTGCCTGTGCCTCTGTCCCCACTCCCAGCCCCTCTGGAAGAAAGCCCGTCACTCAGAGGCCTCATTTGCTGTCTGTGAGCCTCGAGCAGGGGCATGTGGATGGCGTGTCGTTCAGGGACTCCGGCTGGGGTTCCTTTCCCAAAGCAAGGGGAAGACTAGGACGCTCCCTCCCCTTCCTCCCTGCCGTCGTTTGTCCCCCAAGGTCAGCCCTGGCCGTGTCACTCCCTCGGTCAGAGTGTCGCCCCGGAACCGATGGGCGTGGGCACGATGCTGGTCAGGGCACACACCTAAGTTGCATGTACGGGAGGCAACTGGTGGATGTGCCTCTCTGCCCCTTCCTCTCTCTAAAATCAATAACCATGTTCTCTGGTGAGGATCAAGAAAAATCAAAGCTCCTCGGCCTGTTTTGTGGGGACACTTTTAAGGGGGTACGAGCATGGGTTTTAAAATGTGCAGGTCTGGGAGCCGGACTCGCTGGCTGTGGACGGGTTGGGTTCTGATCACAGAGCCAGCCCCGCTGGCACCGCGTTCTGCAGGGTGCAGGGCGCGGCGCGTGGACGCCTTGCAGCTCGTGCTGCGGTAACAGTGCGGGGGCGAGAGTGACGTCACCGCTCACAGCGAGCTCGTGTGTCTGAATTCCGGCCATCTGAGGAGCCGGGGTGGGTTCCGCCCGAGAGGACACAGCAGAGAGGGAGAGCAACAGGCCAGGGGGACCACGGGCCCTTGACACAGGCTCGGACGGTGGCTCAGGCGCGAGCTGACGGGGCGCCCTCCCGGCCACCGCCTGCAGTGACTCCCGCTGTCTCCCTGCAGGTGACTATCCGGCGCCACGGGCCGTCCTCACGGGCCACGACCACGAAGTTGTCTGTGTTTCTGTCTGCGCAGAACTGGGACTTGTTATCAGTGGTGCTAAAGGTCAGAAAACATTTCTTTCGTTTTAATTCTTTTAACACCGCACGTCCGCAAGTTAACCATGCTTCTCGGTTCCTTCCCCAGCAGGCTCCCTGGGCACAGGGCCCCCGGGATTTTGCAGCTGTTCAGTTTTAGCATCAACAGTTACAGGCCCATGTAGTATGAAACTGTATGAGCACCAGGTGGTCACTGGCATTGTCGCCAGACCTGGTGAATGACACTGCAGCCTTAGCGGGACGTGCAGGGGCCGGGGGGCGGGCTGCGGGGTCCTGTGTGCTGCAGCCTTAGCAGGGGGCGGGGTCCTGTGTGCTGCAGCCTTAGCAGGGGGCGGGGTCCTGTGTGCTGCAGTCCTAGCAGGGGGAGGGGAGCGGGGTCCTATGTGCTGCAGCCTTAGCGGGATGTGCGGGGGCGGGGTCCTGTGTGCTGCAGCCTTAGCGGGACATGCGGGGGCGGGGTCCTGTGTGCTGCAGCCTTAGCGGGATGCGGGGGGGGCGGGGGGCGGGGTCCTGTGTGCTGCAGCCTTAGCGGGATGCGGGGGGGCGGGGGGCGGGGTCCTGTGTGCTGCAGCCTTAGCGGGACATGCGGGGGCGGGGTCCTGTGTGCTGCAGCCTTAGCGGGATGCGGGGGGCGGGGGGCGGGGTCCTGTGTGCTACAGCCTTAGCGGGACATGCGGGGGCGGGGTCCTGTGTGCTGCAGCCTTAGCGGGGGGCGGGGTCCTGTGTGCTGCAGCCTTAGCGGGATGCGGGGGGGGCGGGGGGCGGGGTCCTGTGTGCTGCAGCCTTAGCGGGACATGCGGGGGCGGGGTCCTGTGTGCTGCAGCCTTAGCGGGATGCGGGGGGCGGGGGGCGGGGTCCTGTGTGCTGCAGCCTTAACGGGACGTGCGGGGGCGGGCCGGCTGACAGGGGTCCCGGGCCCCGCCTGCTCCTCAGCGCAGCTTGGCCCCTCCTGCACGAGGCCCGCAGGTCGGGGACGGGCAGGTGGGGACAGGAGACATGACTGCTGAAGGCAGAGGCTCCGGCCGTGAGCCGGGGGTGTTGGCAGTTAGTTCACGCTGGGAGGAGCAGGGTCGAACATCCTTGCCGTGGGTTGCGGCGGTGGGTTTTTTTTCTTTTTGTGGCAGAAGTGGTGTTTCTGGAAAAGTCAGGAAACCTGGGTTCTAATTCTGGCTCAGACACCCCTTCTTTCTGGGGGGGAGGCCTCCGGGCAGGAAGGAGCCTGTCTCAGAGAAACTGAAAGAGACCCCAAGGGGCTGAGCGAGGGGAGAGAGGCCGGGGAGGGGGCAGGGCCGGTGGGTTTTCGGGTTTTCTTTCCCTTTAAGCGGGCGGAGCCGTGACCTTGGCCCAGCCAGGAGGGCAGCCACTGGGTTTGCTTCGGGAGCTCGTCTGCTTCTTGGAGAATCCTCGTGTCTGGGGAAGGGGGATGTCTTCTCCATTTCGCGTGTGTAAGAGTAAATAACCCAGAAAACATACGTGTTCTCAAGAAATGCCTTTTTAAGTAAAAAGAAGCACTAACAATATGTGTGATGTTATTCCACCTGGTAAAGTGGAAAAGGAAGGGAAGCCACTGGGCGCGGGGAGAGGGGACACTCACCTCTCTGCAGCTGACCGACCCAGTGTTCCCGGGTTTCATGATGTGTGTTCGTACTGTAGTCATCGGCACTTTAGCTACAGCTTCATAATTTCACTTGTTTCAGACTCTATCTACTTACATCCACCGATTGAAAAATAGGCATATCACTTATCTACAATTTTTGTAGCTTTTTAGAGGGTCAGGGCTGGTCAGACCAAACGATGTTGACCAATTATTTTTGTGAATTGGACTAGTAGATGTTTTATCTATCAACACAGTTTGTCTGGGGGGAGCAGTCAGAGCCAGTCAGTGGTCGCTCCTGCTCCTGCCTCACTGTTCCTTACCCCAAAGCAGTGTCCCTGCAGCGGGAATTCTGCAGTCATCATCTCTAGTTCGCCTTTTACACTTTAGGCACAGGTGATAGAAAAGGTAAACCCTATTGCTCAACAGTAACGTGTTTAGGCGACACATGTAGGAATGTTGAGGTACTAAACAAAATCAGCAATTGTTCTGATGACTCTCCTAACTTTAAAGAAAAGATTGTTAAAAACACATTAAGAAAAAATTGGGGAAGGGGACATACAATCTTTTATTCTCACATAATCTATGAACTGTATCCTTTTGATGAATATGATCTCACGAAGGAAAAGACCAAGTAACTAGATACAAATTTTGGAACAGTTTCTGTTTTTGCTGTTTCAATGTTAAGACGGTGCCTGGTTCTTCCCGGCACCTGCTTCTTATTTCGCACCTTCTCTCGACACACCTGAGTGCATCCCCAGGTGCCGGGTGCGGGTCTGTGATAGCTGGTGTGTGCCCCATCATCACCAATGACGGTGCCCTTGGTGCCCCTGTCCCGCAGAGGGCCCCTGCCTGGTCCACACCATCACGGGGGACCTGCTGAGGGCGCTGGAAGGGCCGGAAAACTGCTCGTTCCCACGCCTGATCTCCGTCTCCAGCGAGGGCCACTGCATCATATACTACGAGCGAGGGCGCTTCAGCAACTTCAGCATCAACGGGAAGCTTCTCGCTCAAATGGAGATCAATGATTCAACACGGGTAAGTCTGCGAGTTAGCACTGAAGAGACCAGAGCCACAGGTTAGGTAGCGACTGTTTAAGTGATTTATGTTAAGTGATTCGTAACAGAACTTCTCTGGTATTCCATACATGTGTGCTGGTTTGGGAGGCATATAAATTCATGTAGCTGGATTCTACGAACAAACCCAAAGTCCATGTAATCCCACGTAGTGAACTCAGGGAATTAGACTTGGCAGATAGAAGCTGCTGTTTGCTTAGAGGTTAGACCCTTAAGGAGATTTTTCTTCAAGTTCTTTTATAAACAACTGTGGTCAGTGCTGACCCCCGACATTAAAAGTGAGTTTATTATAAAATAGTCTTACCTGCAGAGCACTAGACCAAAATGACGTGTGCCAGCCACCCGTCAGGCACAAGTGAGTTGTGGTTGCGGCGCATCGTTACAAACACCGTGGGACAGGCGGCCACCCGTGCTGAACGCTTCGGCACTCGGTGCCCCCCCCCCCGGGCTCCACCGAGCACCGGGCTCCGCCGCAGGTCCTTCCCGGAGCCCGTGGTGACGTTCTCCTCGGGGCTCTGTCACTTTGGTCCTCAGTCGGTTTTAATAAACCCGTGGTCTCTGTCATCACTCTTACGAGCTCCACATTGGAGTTCCACGGCCCAGAAACTCGGGCAGCGGCTGAGAGGAGGTAGCTATCACCAGGGACGGGACGGTGTGGGGACGCTGGGCGAATCGGCTCTCTCTGCCTTTGCTGAAGGCCATTCTGCTGAGCAGCGATGGCCAGAACCTGGTGACCGGCGGGGACAGCGGCGTGGTGGAGGTCTGGCAGGCCTGCGACTTCAAGCAGCTCTACATGTACCCCGGGTGCGACGCTGGCATCCGAGCCATGGATCTGTCCCACGACCAGAGGTGAGCCCCTCGCGGAGGCCTCTCCATCCCCCAGGGGTGCCGGGAGTGACATGCCAGCGCCCAGAAGGAAGAAGGGCTAGTAGGAGTGAGTGCTGTCCGAAAGGATCGGGCCAGAGGCAGCGGAGGAGAGGGGGGGTCTGAGAAAGGACCGGCCATCGAGACCCTGCCCGAACAGCACCATCCCAGCGGCGCCCCTTCCCAGGCCCCCGGGCTCAGGCCCCCCACCCCCACTCAGGCCCCCCAGGCTCAGCACCCCCCACTCAGACAGGCCCCCCAGGCTCAGCACCCCCCACTCAGACAGGCCCCCCAGGCTCAGCACCCCCCACTCAGACAGGCCCCCCAGGCTCAGCACCCCCCCACTCAGACAGGCCCCCCAGGCTCAGGCCCCCCAGGCTCAGGCCCCCCATCCCCACTCAGACAGCCTCCCCCAGGCTCAGCCCCCCCACTCAGACAGGCCCCCCCCAGGCTCAGGCCCCCCACCCCCACTCAGACAGGCCCCCCCCAGGCTCAGGCCCCCCACCCCCACTCAGACAGCCTCCCCCAGGCTCAGCCCCCCCCACTCAGACAGGCCCCCCCAGGCTCAGCCCGCCCCACTCAGACAGGCCCCCCCCAGGCTCAGCACCCCCCACTCAGACAGGACCCCCAGGCTCAGCCCCCCCACTCAGACAGTCCCCCCAGGCTCAGCCCCCCCACTTAGGCCCCCCAGGCTCAGCACCCCCCCCTCAGCTCAGACAGGCCCCCCAGACAAAGACAGCCCCGACAAGCCTCCCGGGTCAGGTGAGGTGAGGGAGGGGTCTCAGTGGAGCTGAGCTGCCCAGCACGCTGCCTGCTCACAGCTTCCTGACAGCGCCCTGTGGCCCCGGGCCCCCAGGAGGGAGGACACAGTCATGACTGGAGCAGCCGCACCCCCACTTCTGACTTACCTGTGTCTCAGTTGTGCTGTTTTTTTGAATTTCCTGTCTCCTTGAGACACTAATCTTTTCCTAATGAATATGACTCTGCATTCTTCCTCAGATTGCAACAGGATTTTGCTATTTCCTAAAACTCACCTTTGGGTTTATTATAAAGTGAGAAGACTCTTAGAATGTAAAGTCTTAAAATTTCTAAATTTTAAAAAGAAACTAAAACTGTGTAATTTTAATATGGTATGTAATTTCTCATGCTTTGCTCTGTACAGGCTTGGCAAAAGTAGGTTTACAGTGGTGAGTGTGCAAAACGGAGAGTTTATTCTTGTATTATTATTTATTAATTATTGCATTATTTTCCATAGGAACAACTGTAACCTACTTTTGCCCCACCCTGTATTCCAGAGAAAAAAGAAAACCTTATTGACCAACTTTTTCAACGATATGTATATTCTTTATAAGAAGATTGGTTTTAAAATATTATAAATACTGTCCTGGCCGGTTTGGCTCAGCAGTTGGAGTGTCGGCCTGCAGACCAGAGAGTCCTGGGTTCGGTTCCCGCTAGGGGCGTGTATATATATATATATATATATATATATATATATATATATAAAGGCTTATGCAATAAATTTAGCAAAAATAAATTTATAATATAGTAAAATGGTGCCGAAGTCATCAAAAAAAACGGTACAGTTTAGTTTTGGGAAGAGATGTTTCATCAGTAGCTCAGCCTGTTTGTGAAGAAAACTTAGCAGGTAACGGTTAGAACAGTCTGAAATGCGGTCGTCGGTATTAATGAGAAAGTAGGAATGGTTTACGGGGCACTTCCTGTACACACGGGGTGTTCCTAAGCATCTGAAATAATTTGGGTTCTCAAGCAGCTGACTGTTCTCCCTGACACCCTTATCCACTCCGTGCACCCACGCTGCACACGCGTGGTACGAGCATGGGTGCGGCAGGCCGAGTGCATCCCAGCACACTGGGCCCGAAGAGCTCAAATAGCCAGGGTCACTGCATGTGAGGGGACAGAATAACTGACCTGCCTCTTCTGGGGGGAGAGCAGGAAAGGCTTCCTGTGGCTGGGGGGCAGTTGGAGAGAAACGCAAGGTCGCGGTAGTGTCGGGGTCACCGAGACCACAACAGTGGTCTCATCCTCAGCTCCCGTCATGTGTGTGCTGGAACCCCCTGATATGTTGAAACCGTGGCACATGCACGTGTTGTGAATTGACAGACAACATACCTGGGGAGTCCTGCTCCAGAGGGCTCATCGGAGAAGGTGCCCGGCCCCCTGAGGCCGCACCCGGTCTGCAGTGGGGTGCGTGGGGCTGCCCGGTGACGCTTGGGAGAGCCCAGGCCTCGTCTGGGCCTGATCAGTGGGCTCGGGGCTGAGGTGTGGACTCTGCGTCACGGTCGTGTCGCGTGCGCAGCAGCACCCACACCGGCCGTCTCTGTCCCTCCTAACTCTGTCTCTGCTTTCCCAGGACTCTGATCACCGGCATGGCTTCCGGCAGCATTGTGGCTTTTAACATCGATTTTAACCGGTGGCATTATGAGCACCAGAACAGATACTGAGGCCCGGCGGGGCCGCCAGCCAGGCGGGTGGGCGCAGTCTGCGTGGGAAGGCGGCTTGGGCTCGCCCATCGCTCCTGCACTAGCTGTGCATCGTCGTCAGCCTTTTCCTTTGTGTTCCCACGACCGAATACCAGCTCTGCCAGCCAAGCTTCGATCATGTAAATTATATGAATTAGGACATGTTTGGGTAATTATTTCATACATTGTTGTTCATTGAGAAAAGGTAGGAGGGCGCACAAGAGACTTGGGACAACTCTGAGGACCCTTGTGTCCAGTGGTGACAAAGAGGAAGCTCGGAACCTAACCCTAACCCATTTCCAGCCTCTTTTCAAGCTGAGAAAAAACGAAACATGTTTGATACTTTGTACATCAGATGCATCTTATTTAAAGGGATACTTTTGTAAAAGTAAAACCTTGTATAAAAGCCAACGTTTCTGAATTGCACTGTGGCGCTGCAAGTGCGTGCTCACACCACGACAGCGATCGCTCTGAGGACGCTGCTCTGCGAAACGGTGGGATTTGAGCTCAATCGGCAACTTTCGACATTTTCACTAAAATATGATTTGCACTTTTTAATCTGAATTTATCCCTTCTAAGTGAAATCTGCTCATAAAGCATTTGGATACTAAGCCATTATTTGCCATTCTTGGTATTTCTACAAAGAAAAGTCAGCCCCACTCATCATAATTTGAAGACACAGCAGAAAGGGGGCTTGGGGTGAGGTCTGGGTTTTTACTGTCTAAATAGGAGTCACGGTCACTAGTTCCATAGCAACGACTTCCCAGCTCCTGGGCATTTCTTCCAGAGTCATCCGCTGGCTTAGTGTGTGTGCAGTAGGGGAGGAAAGTCTGACGCTTTTTCGTTGTTGTTGTTGCTGTTTTGTTTTTCTCTTTGGTTCTTGAATAGCTTAGTTTCTTTAATAACAAGTCGAACTTAATCATAACAATAACTAAAGTTGTCGTTTTAGGTTTCTGTAAAATTCAAACCTAAAGCCACATTCTTAGCCTAAGACACTTCCTCTTTTACGATATAAAATTATGGCTATCAAATGATTTTCCATACATTGTGTTGATCAAGTTGTACACCCAGGGGTATATCCATTTATTTATGTTTCTTCTTTGTATATTTGGTGACTGTCATAGATGTACATATTGTGTCAGTAGGGCTATGAGGCATGTTACAGGAATGTAATTTTCTCAGAATTTACACTCATTTGCAGTCATTTATTTAAAAAGATTAAACAAGATAATGGGTTCTTTCTATTGGCACTTTGCACCAGAAACATATCATTATTTATTGATGTGATTACTTCTTTGTTCTTCACCTGTACTAGTAAGTTTTAGCACCGAATTCCTTCTTCATTGTTGTTTGTATTTATGAGATCCTGAAATTCTGGGAAATCGGCGTAATGATTAAGTTATTCACCACCAGGCTGTAAGCAATACCTTGCGTTTGGAGGAGGACACGGAACATCTGGAAGACAAATTCACTTCATCTTGAGATCATGGTGAAATATTTTGGATATATAAATTCCTTAAGCTATTGTAACCATGTTTTATTGCAAAGATGTAAAATATGCCAGATGTGTGTGAGTTGGAAATCAACAAATGAAAAATAAAATATGCAAAGAATTTACTGATTGCCGTACCTGTCACTGGACGCTTCCCTGACACGCTGCGTCGTGTCGTCACACTGGTGCGAGGGATGCGTGTCACCTGGGGTGAGGCCGTCGGCACTCCAGCGGGAACCGCGTCCCCACGAGGGTCTGCCGTGTGCCGGCGCGGGAGCCGCTCTGCTTGGCCAGCTGGCAGGGACTCGGGGCAACGGTGACAGGAAGGAGACTCCCTTCTTGTTTCTTCCACATAATCCACTTTGGGGATATTTTTTATTCTTATTTTTTTAAGGAACTAAATGCAGGTGATGGCGAAGGGTGTAACTGCTCATTACGCAGATATGATCAGCTAAAGCTATTTCCATTGGACCCACACTGTCCAGACTGTCTCACCCACCAGGCGTGACAGTGCGGCCGGCAGGCCCGGGGGAGCCGGCTGGGCGGCCGCGCCGCGCTGAGGGGCGTCTGTGATCCCACGGGCGGGCAAGGGCGGCGGCCGCCCAGACGGCCCAGGGACCGGGAGAAGAGCACACGCACTGCCACCTGTATTCCCAGGACGAAAGGGCGGAACTGACAGTAGCCCAGAAAAGGCTTGCTACTGTGGCCTCCCGTCCTGTCCCCACACCAGACAGCCAGCAGTGATCCGCGCCTGCTGGGTCCCTCCACCAGCCCTCCCGCAACCCACTGCTCGCTCAGCCAGGCTTCCTGCTACCTAAATGTCTCTCTCTCTTTTTCTTTATTGATTATAGAGAGAAGGAGAGAGAGAGAGAAACATCAATGAGAGGGAACATCAATGGGCTGCCTCCTGCACGCCCCCCACTGGGGATCAGGCCCACACCCTGGGCATGTGCCCTGACCGGGAATGGAACTGGCGACCTCTTGGTGCAGGGTCGACGCTCAACCACTGAGCCACACTGGCCGGGCCCTAAATGTCTTCAAATCAGCACACACCCCTTCCAGGACTATCATCTGGCCTGTCACCAGAACCGTGACCAGTGTCTGGGCCTCACGTCAGACCTCCCCAGCATGCCCCAGGCCAGACCACATCCCCGCCCGGGCACCCTCTGCTGGGCACCCTGCGCTGGCCTCCGCACCGTTAGTGTCTGGCGGGTGGGAAATCTCCTGGGAGCTGGTTTTCAAGAGCAGAATCCAGGTCCCCCTGTCCCCAGGTGATTCGGAGACAGGCCGCCCGTGGCCATATTTCCAACAGCGTGGATATGAGGAGTGCAGTCCGTGTTGGGAGAGGCCAGCAGTAGGGGAAACACTCTGGCTGTCTCCCTGGTAACCTCACTCAGGAAACCCACCGTGTGTGAGTCCCTGAGACTCCCTGTCCTTGTCCCAGGTCCTCCCTGCCCAGCCCGCCCCTCTGCCCATCCAGCTGACCTCCCGGAGGCGAACTGACCTAAAGAAACCTGGTCATGTGCAATCTGTCTGGCAGGTAGAGGTACCCCCACACCCCAAAGCCTCACTAGATGATGAAAACAATTTTCGAGACCAGTTTCTTCTGCATGTAAACACCTTTCCAGCAGCACGTTTCAGAAAGTGAGCACAGACCTGTCTGTGAGCTGGGAAGCCCGGGGCCTTTGGGGTGACCTGCTGACCGCCTCCCCTGGACGGGCCACCGGAAGGAAACAGCAGTGCTGGGGGGCTGGGTCCTTCAGTGCGGTGATGCCCCGGCAGCCAGAGCCCTGGACGCGACGCTGGGAGTCTCGGCTAACGGCCCGTAGATCACGGACGGCTGGGAAAGGCGTCTGAAGTACCACCCAGTGGATGCTGAAGTCACAGCTTTAAACATCACTGATGTTGTTAATGAAGGACTGTTGATGTCATCCACACGCTCATTAAGGGCCCAATAATGACCCCGCTACAAAGCCATTCTTAGCAGCCACCATCCTAACGCATAAAGCTTCCGGTCTCCTTCGCTTTCAGGAAGCTGTCCGGACCGTGTGTACACGGAGACCGTCCTGAGGACACAGTCTACGAAGCTCTGACATACTACCCCTCGTCTGTCCCGGACATTGTAAAGTGAGTGACGACATAGAGCACTTCCGCTCGTCACAGGCTCAGGGTGCCTTCCTGTGGGGCGCTGCCTGCCCACGGGGCCCACGGCTCCCGCCGGGCACAGCCCTGGCCGCCCACCGAGTGGCACGGGTCACAGCACCCGCCGTCCTCCCTGTCCCCGCCGCTCCCTGGGCATGGGCGTTTCCACCGCGTATTCTCAGTGTGCCCTGTCAGTGAATGGAGATCTGCCGCACGCGTGCTGAACAGCTACGCACCAGACCCCTGGGGAGGCGGGGGGTTGGCGGGGACGCTCAGGAACCCACCCCCCTTCCCGCTGCCCTGGAGCCCCAAGGCCTCCCTGGGGACCCCCAGAGAGCACCGTGCTCCAAGCGCACCACGGGCCCTTTGCCAGCCGGGTTCGAGGGACCCCTGACCACCACGTCGCAGCCCCAGAGCTGCGGAGGGGGCCACCTCGTGACCGGACCCACACCTGTCCGTCGGAAGGACGGGGAGCGACATGATGGGGCGCGAAGGAACCTGGCTGTGCCCCCTCCCGTTAAAGTGGGGCGAGGGCGCCCACGGTAAGCGTTGTTTGGGGACAGAATGCAGAGCCGTGCCCGCCCCGGGCAGCGCCGGTGCTCAGCGGGGCTCAGCAGGGAGCGCTGCCCCCACAGCCCGCGGGCGTGTCATTTCGTCCCTGCAGCACCCCTTTCCCTTCCTGCCTGCCCTGTACCTCGGGACACCTTTCCCGCCACGGACTTTGCTGGGGTCAGATCCCCAGGACCTCCCGACGCAGATCTGTCCGAGCAGGCGACCGCCGTCGGGAGACTTCAGTGACCGGTCAGGGTAAGTCAGCCAGGGCTTTTCCCGCGAATGTGTGTATTCTGAGTGAGGGAGAGACGCCTTCTCCGCTGGTGTCACCCACCTGTCACGGAAACCGGGGTCTGCAGGCTGCCATGTCCCCGCTGAGCGTGGACGCCTGTCTGCCGGGGCGAGGCCGCGAGAGGCGGAGCGTGGCTGTCGGGGTGGTTTCCCAGGCTCCGTGGACGGAGCGTCTATCACGCGTCTCCTCGGCTCGGGAACGAGAACGAGCACTCGGCGCACCGAAGGAGCCAGCCGTGTGCAGGCCTCAGAGCCACCGCTCTGGGAGCACAGTGTTTTCTGTGTCCAGGGCCAAAACCCTGGCAGGGACGCTGTGCTTAGACCCTGGGCACCTCTGCATACACTCTCCTCCTCTCCGGAGGCCAGAGACCCCGGAACCGGGGCTCCTACCACTGCAGGTCGGGTCGGGCTCTGGGACGGAGGGTCCAAGCCAGCACCTCTTAGTAGGAAGTGACCACAGGAAGATTGAGTTCTTTGTGCCAGGGGAGGGCTGGGGTGACAGGCTGTGGGCCCAGGGAGATAATCTTTCAGTCCAATTTTCTCAGGACTGCAGAATCCATCCGGTCCTCTCCTTTGCCCGTCTAGGAGGCTGACGGCCAGAAAGGTCATGACCCCTGTCTCTGTCAGCCACACGAGGAATAAGTGGCTGGTTCCCATCCTGCTCCCCTGCCCTCCATCCAGCACTTAGAACAGCTGGACATGGGCCCGGCCAATGTGACTCAGTGGTTGAGCATTGACCCATGAACCAAGAAGTCACCGGTTCAATTCCCGGTCAGGGCACATGCCCAGGTTGTGGGCCCGATCCCCAGTGGAGGCATGCAGGAGGTGGCCAGTCCATGTTCTCTCTAATTGATCTTTCATTCTCTCTCTCTTCCTCTCCCTTCCTCTCTCTCTAAAATCAATAAATAAATAATTTTTAAAAATAAGGAGGATGCCCACTTTTGCCACTCTTATTTAACATAGTACTGGAAGTCTTAGCCACAGCAATCAGACATGAAGAAAAAAATAAAAGGGATCCAAATTGAAAAGGAGGAAGTGAAAGTCATTATTTGCAGATGACATGATATACATAGAAAACCCTAAAGACTCCATAAAAAATCTACTAGACTTAATAAATGAACTTGGTAAAGTAGCAAAATACAAGATTATGTTCATAGCAGCACTATTTACAATAGCTAAGATCTGGAAACAGCCCAAGTGTCCATCAGTAGACGAATGGATAAAAAAGCTGTGGTACATGTACACCATGGAGTACTATGCAGCTGTAAGAAAGAAAGATCTCTTATCCTTTGAGACGACATGGAGGGACCTGGAAAGTATTATCCTAAGTGAAACAAGCCAAGCAGAAAAAGACAAATACCACATGATCTCACTTATTTATGGAATATAATTAACATATCAGTCTGAGGAATAGGGTAGACCCAGAGACGTGGAAGTAGGGTACAGACTGACAACCCTTAGAAGAGGGTGGGGAGTGGGGAGAGGGGAGACATAAACCACAGAACTTATATGCATGTACGCATAACCAATAGACATGGACAACAAAGCCGGGGACAGGGTGGGGGGGATGGGGAGGAGGGTGTCAATGGGGTAAAAAAGGAGAAACATCTGTAACAAAAATAAAATTTTAAAAAAATCTGAAAAAAAATTAATAAGGAACAGCAGGAAGTGGGACCAGGATGGGAGACGGGGGACCCTTGATGGGGCTGGACTTGCAGTGGGGGTGCTGAGTGAGCAGGGCCCTGGGTGTGCACCACAGCACCACCAGCTGTAGGTGACCACAGTCCCCCTTCCACAGGGCCGGAGAGGAGAGAGTGTTTGCAGGTCATTGCACTAGTGTGTCCCAGACCCGGTCTGAATGCCCAGTATGAGGACACCTCTGATCTGAAGTGAAACCAGATGAAGATGAAGCTTGTCCTGCTGCCAACGTGGCTGAATTTTTTTTATTTGGAGATCATGCCTTTAGTTTTTTTTTTGTTTGTTTGTTTGTTTTTTTATCCTCACCCGAGGATATTTTTCCATTTTTTGTACAGATAGAGTGGGAGGGAGAGAGAGAGAGAAACATCGACGTGAAGGGACACATCGAGTGGCTGCCACCCGCACGACCAACCAGGGCCGGGGAACTGCAACCGAAGTACGT